GGGCTGCTCACTTCCTTTTCTTTTTGCAGTTTTGTTTTCTTTTGTCTGTTCTGTAAGAGTTACCGATTGCTGGCTTTTCAGATCCAAGTCTGGGGTGTATAGAGCAAAATCCAAATAAAACTGCAGAGAATTTACTATTGTATTGTTCGTTACGTTTCATTATCCCTGGATCATTTCTTTTCTTCTCTTTGCTTTTCAAAGTTATCTTGTGTGTTTTTAATAATGTCCATTTTTCTTAGTTATACTATAAAAAATAGAGAAAAGTATATTTATAGTTCTAGTTATAGAAATCCCTCAAAACAGGTTTTATTTTATTACTATATTCATATTTGTTATTTCTTTTTTATTTTTAAATTGTTTTTGTTGCTAGTAATGGAATTCTGGACCTCACCCTTGCCAGGCAGGCACTGACCCACTGAGCTAAATCCGTGGCCCATCTTTGCTATTTCTGTAGAGTCTCTAAAAGACAACTTATTTGCTATAAAATGATTTTCATGAGTTAGTATAAATGAAAACCTCTGTGAAATTGGCCTAAAACATATATATGTAAAAATGAGTATTCACAAACCAATTCTAGCAATGAAGAATTCTCAGAAAGATAATGGTGTATAAAAATTTGTCTTGAACATTATATTTATATATTTGAACTCTTTAGTAATTATGCTTAAAAGTAACATTTAAACTATTTTAAATATAGTGTACTGATCAGTATGTCACATTTTTTATTAAATGAATTAAACATTAGATATTAAAATTAATATATTCAGGTTGGGTATTTGGCTCAGTGGTAGAATTCTTGTCTTGCTGCACAAGGCCAGCTAAGTTTGATCCCCAGCACCACAAAATAAAATAAAATAAAATAAAATAAAATAAAATCCATGTTGTATAGAATACATGTATACAATTTTTAAAAAGATTAATATATTTTGTAGTAACACAATCTTTCTATCAAATCCAGTCAGTTTAAAATAGTTTATAGAGTAAAATACTCTTCCTCTGTCCAGTCCTGTTGGAGACCACTATGAAGCAGCTCTGAGCAGGATTTAAAATTAACTGATTGGCTTTCTATATCTGTAAGTCTGTCATAGGCCTAGGCTGCTTGTCTGGAGATGTGCAGTGGATTTATAATAAGTGAACGTCTATGAATCAGTAGGCCTGGTTGAGACCTACAGTGGCCTGTGATGGCAGAGACACCTTAAAGGTAAGATAAGGCCACAGTTGAGGACACCTGGTTCCAAACCAAATTAAGTAGATAGGGACTGCAGCTACAGGCATCTCACTTCTGCTATCTCACTCCTACCAAAAATATCATGGAGATAAGACAGTTCTCCTAAACTGGCATAATTTACTACTTGGAGAAGTCTCTGAAGTGACTCCCAAGGTCCTGCTCAGTTTCTGTGCTTTCCTCAGTATTCCCTCTCTTTGTTTGAAACCTAATAAATATGAGCTGCCTACAGAAGCTCTTTGTCTGAGCCCCCAGAGTCTCAAACTCTGATAGAGGGTGTTGAGCCTCCTGCAGTTGTAAAATCATAGCACTTGTCTCATTTATTTAAACCTTCACCATACACTCATTTGGGAGATTGAGGATCTTGGCCAGGTCCCTGAAACAGTTCTGTTTTCCAAATGTGACCACTGTTAATGTCAAGCATGCATCTAGCCAATGCTTCAGTCAGTATTTACATTTCTAATCATCATCTGTCTTCTCAGTGGCCTCTGCATTTCCTCTCTAGCTTCTTCTTCTAAACAACATTGTAGGATCAATCTTCTCTGTTGAACCATTGAATATAGAAATGATTTCATACTTGGTTTTATTCTCTTTTCTTCTCAATGATTATTGTTTTCTTCTTGACCTACTTATATCCTTGTCTCAATTACCATTTACACACAGATGACTTTTTTTTTTATATTGTAGGTCTTGGTGTGGGTGTTAAATCAATAATTGCAACTGTACTTGGCATGTTTTGAATATCTAAATGGCACTCAACCCGTATGCTAAAATCATTTCCATATTTTGTCTCTCAGTAAATGATACTGCTCTTTATTGAGTTGTATTCATGAGAAAATTAAGAGTCATTTTTCATCCCCTTTCCTCTTTACTTTCATGCCTGATTACTCACCAAGTCCTGTGGTCTCTCCCTTCAGAATTCACCTAATCCTTTCCATGTCAGTGAAAGCTTTCTTTGTCATCTGCTTAGCCTGATGGAGTATTTTCTTAAATGGACTCTTTAGCTCTACCTTATTATTCTTGAATTAATTTTTACTCTATAAACAGTTTTTTTTCAGAATAAAAATTTAGTCATGTTACATGCCTGTGTAAAATATTTCAGAAGTTTTAAATTGCTCTTATAGTAAATAACTAAGCCTTTAACATAACAAAGCATAGTACCTGTCTCAATAAATATTTATGGGAGAAAAATCACATATTTTCAGTATTTACTATTAAAATAGTACTAGTATACATCCATATTTCTGTATGTATCTTTAAAAGTCAATATTCCTGTTGGGTATATTGGTAAAAGTGGGATTGCTGGTATAGTTCACTTATCATCTATTAAATATCTAGGTTACTGAAGAGGTGGTACAGTGCTTTGTAGCCATCAAGAGAAAAAAGAGGAATCCAATCTACAAAGATCAGTAATGATTTATTGAGGGATAGATGCTATTGGATAAGATGAAGTCATATTCTGGAGAGTCACCCAATAGTTTAAGGACTTGTCTTAAATTTTTTTTTTACCAAGAAACACAGAGCAATTAGTAAATGAGTTGAATTTTTGTCTTTATAAGAAATGCAATTTATTTCTTCATATATTTTCCTTACAACATAATGCAGGTGATATAAAGGAAAGAGTTGTCTGAAATGAGAAAGTTTAATAAAAATAACTATGAATTATATAATTCATAGAAATTAAGGACCCCTGGTGTTATAGAACATTTGGGCTGCTATAACAAAATATCTTAGATTGAGTGACTTAACAGAAGTTCATTTCTAATAACTTTGGAGGTGGAAAAGTCCAAAGTCAAGTCACCAGCAGATTCGGTAGCTGGTGAGGGCATTCACTTTCTGCCTCGTAAATGGCCCCTGCTTCTGTGTCCTCACATGGTAGAAGGGATTGAGGAGTCTCTCTTGGAGCTCTTTTATAAGGACACTAATCCTTTCCTGAGGGCTTTGCCCCCCTGGCCTAATCATCTTCCAAAGGTCACATTTCCCAACACCTTGTAGATTCTGGTATCATCAAAGGAGTTTGGGGAGCACACAAACATCTAGACAGTTACATTAATGTAGTTGCTACTCAGCTGAATTGTGAAGCAGGGCAAGTTATGTTTTCAAAGAAGGAAGGAAGGAAAAAGGGAAGAGAGGAAAAGAGGAAGAAAGGAAAGAAGGGAAAAGGAAGAAAAAAGGAAGAGAGGAAAAGAGAAGAGAGGAGAGGAGAGGAGAGGAGAGGAGAGGAGAGGAAGGAAGGAAAGGAGATGGTCTGTCTTTGGTCCTGTGATGTAGGCAGAGAGGGGCATGAGGTATGAGCTGCCTGAAAGGTTGGAGACTAAGGGAATCCGGTTACTACTGGCTCTGTACTTGATAGTCACAAAGCTAACTAATCTCTGTCAGACTTAGTTTTCTTCTCTATACACAATAAAGATCTCTATTTTACCTGTGAATAAGATTAGATGCAAACAATTATTTTATTATTTATGAATATATTTATATCAATACATTTATTATTGAAGCTGATACTAAGATACTTTACTGCTGATTTTAGTTACACATTTGTGTGCCAGAAGGATAAAATTATGGTGTACGTGATATTAATGGCTTTAAAATCTCCTTTCAGCTGGGCATGGTGGCTCACACCTGTAATCCCAGGACTCGGGAGGCTGAGGCAGGAGGATCATTGCAAGTTCAAGGCCAGCTGGGGCTACAAAGTGAGCTCAAGGCCAGGCTGAACTGCATAGTGAGACCCTGTCACAAACAAACAAACACCTCCTTTCAGCAGGTGATTGGGCACAAAATGATTCATAATGTGCTCTTTTTAAAAAAATTTTATTTAAAAGGAAAAAGAGAAAAAACAAAACAAAACAAAGCGGTGTAAGGGTACAAGTAATACAGAACTACAAAAAAAAAAAAAAACAAAAAAACGTAAGAAATCACCAGTTAATAGACTACACATTATCATCTTAGAGATAGTTAATCAAGTCACAGTATCAAAGCATACAAAGTGGACATTCAAACAGTGAGACTGCAAACAGTTGTGTTCAATGATCCAACCAAAAACATTAATATGGTCATCTATTTAACACCCCTAAACACACTTGCAGTTGTATCCTTTAGAGCACTTTTTTCCCCTCTCTTTTTTACAACACAATTTACACATTTTGGGTTTTATTCCTCTTGGTTCTTACTACTTTTTTTTTGGAAGAGAATAATGTCAAATATGGCAAAACAAAGCTGTCAGTCAAAACCAAGGATAGACATAGCACAAGATGTAAAAACAGAGTACAAGGTTATCAACAATGGTTACCATAATGCCTCTTGCTTCCTTAAAAAGAATTGTCTATCTCATTAGGTACTATAAAGTTGAACAAAACAGTAGAGAACAAGACCAATAAAACCTAAACCTTGTAAACATTACAGGACTTCCAAAGAAGATAATAGTCAAACCAGAATGGGCATCATAGTGAATCTTATTGCCTTCAAAGTAGTTGCCTATACCCTCAAACTTGATACTATCATACAGAATGGAACAGAGTCTAATCAGTCAAAACATAATGTGCTCTTAGTGCAATGAGAGATACTATTAAGCTCTGAAAGTTTTTTTTAAACCACATATACTTAGATTCTGCAAATTGCTACTTTTTATACTGTTAGTTTTGTTCATACTGAAATGTATTGTTTAAGCAGCTTTGTGTTGTTTGTCACCATATTATTAATTTTGTATCAGCCAGTCTGACGTTATTTAAGCAAACACCGATTTACTTGACCTGTTTGTCGTTGCCTCTCGTTCTAGGCAATGGGCCTTACCATGATCGGTGCTGCACTTACAATGAAAACAACCTGGTGGATGGTGTTTACTGTATCCCGATAGGACACTGGATTGAGGCCACTGGAGAGACCAACGAGATGAAGCACACGACGGATTTCTATTTTAACATTGCAGGCCACCAAGCCATTCATTATTCAAGGTAAGAATATTGCCATGTTTATTAATATAGCGGTAGGATGAGAAGCAGCGTTAGGATAAAGGATATATTTACTCTCTTGAAAACTACAGTGTCTCTCTTTGAAGGAATCTGGAATCCTGCAATACTTTCATGATTTTTTTTTTTGGTACCAGGGATTGAACTCACAAGCTCACGTTTGCCAAGCAGGCATTTATGCTGCTGAGTTAAACCCTTAGTCCCTGCAGTGCTTTCAAAAGGTGAATTACAGTGGATCAGTGAATCAGTGTTTGAGATGACAGTACTTATATTAGGTACATATACTGTATCAACATATTTAACAGGACAGCAGATAACCAACCTTTGTACTGATGTAATGGCTTAAAAATAAGAATTGCCCTACAGTATTCTATATCAGAATTTGTGTTCTTTATGCTACTGAGCAACAGTGAAACAAACTTTGTGTCTCCTTATAAAATCTTATTCAGATAGCTGAAAAATAAGACATAAAAGTTGAGTTAATGTGCTCATTTGATTTATTTGAATAAACTTTCTTCTGTTTGTATTTATTGGAGGTGATTATTTTAAACACTAGATTTTCTGCAATCTGAAATAAGATGCATATATATGTATATATATACTTTGTTAATGTATTCATTTAAAAATAGTTATGGCTTTTTCTCTACAGGATTCTGAGAGGATTCTCTGATATTTGTATTTTCGCCCCACTGTAATCCTTACCAAATATTATATTATTTCTTACCTTCTTAAAAATTCTAATCTATCAAAATTGTGACCAATTTTTAAAAATGCCTATGATTTCCTATTTTGTAAGTGTGGAGAATTTTCCCATTATATTTTCTTCTGTTTTTATGTCTACCAACTATACTACTGAATTTAGTTACTAAATCAAGAAGCCTTTTGGTGGAGTTTTTAGTTCTTTAATGTACAGTATCATGTCATCTGAAAAATGATAAATTAACTTCTTAATTTCCTTTCCTTATTCCTTTTATTTCTCTCTATTGTCTAATTGCCTTGTCTAATATTTCCAGAACTATGTTGAATAGTAATGATGACAGTGAGCATCCTTGTCGTGTTCCTGATGTTAGAGTGAGTGCTTTCAATTTTTGTCTGTTTAGTATGATGTTGGCTGTTGGTTTTTCATAGATGGCTTTTATCAGATTGATGTAGAGATCATTTATTCCAGTTTTCTCTAGGGTTGTTATCATGAGTGAGTGCTGAACTTTGTCAAAAGTTTGTTCTGCATAAATCAAGATTACCATGTTAATTTGCCTTTGGCTCCGTTAATATGGTATATTAAATTGATTGATTTGCACATGTTGAACCATCACTGTGTTCCTAGAATGAATCCCACTTGATTGTGATGTATAATCTTCTTGATAATTTGCTGCATTCTGTTTGGTAGTATTTTATTGAGGATTTTTGCATCTATGTTTATTTGGGAGATTGGCCTATTGTTCTCTTTTTTGGGTGGGTCTTTCCCTGGTTTTGGTATCATAATAATATTTGCCTCCAGGAATGAGTTAGAGAGAATTGCTTCCCTTTCAATTTCATTAGAGCATTTGAGGAGTACTGGCATTAAATCTTTAAATTTCTTGTAGAATTCAGCCATGAATCTATTAGGACCTGGGCTTTTCTTTGTTGGAAATCCCTTGGTTGTTAATCTGAGTGATATTGGGTTATTCAGAATTTTTATATCTTCTTCATTTGGCTTTGTTATTTCCTATATATTTAGGAATCTGTCCATTTCTTCTGTGTTTTCAATCCTATGACAGAAAAGGTTTTTGAAGTAGGTATTGATGATCTCCTGAATTTTCATAGGATCTGTGGTGTTTTCCCCCTTTTTATTTCTCACTACATGATTTTGAGTCTTTTCTTCCTTTTTTTTGAGAATACTGGCTAAGGGTTTATTAATTTTATTTATTGTCTCAACAAACTCTTTGATTCATTAATTCTTTGTATTTTTTTAGTCTCCATTGTGTTAATTTCTGCTCTGATCTTTATAATTTCCTCCTTTCTGTAGACTTTCAGTTTTTTTGCTTTTCTTTTTCGAGAGGCTTGAAGTGAAACTTTATGATGTTTATTAGCGATTGTTCTGTTTTTCTAATGTGAGAATTAGTTGCTATAAATTTCCCTGTGAATACTGCTTTCTTTGCATCCCATAAGTTCTGATATGTTGTATCAGCATTCTTGATTACTTGTAGATATTTTTAAATTTCTTCCTTAATTTCCTGTGATCACTTGGTTGTTTAGGAGTATGTTACTTAATTTCCCTATTTTTATGGAGTTTTTGTGGTTTCTTTTGCCATTAATTTCTAATTTCATTGCCCTATGGTCAGAAATATGCATGGGATAATTTCAGTTCTTTTGCATTTACTTAAGCATGTTCTGTGGGTTATATATAGTATATTTTAAAGAAAGTTCCATGTGCAGCAGAGAAGAATGTATATCCTTATGTTTTTGGGTGAAAGGCTCTATAAACATCTACAAAGTCCATTTTTCACAGGTTTGGTTCAGTTCTGATTTTTTTTTTTTTTTTTTGCTGATTTTTTGTGTAGTTGCTCTGTTTCTATGTGACAATGGGTTTAAGGTCTTCCTTCACAGTTGTGTTATTGCAACTGATTGCAAATGATGTGTAATGCATCATTTTTTATTTTTCATGTCTATTAATAATTGTCTTGTATAGTTGGGTGCTACCATATTTGGTGCATATATATTTAGGTTTGTTATCTCTTCTATTGAAGTTTTCCCCCAATAAGTATGTAGTGAACATATTTATCTCTTTTGATCATCCTTGTTTTAATGTTCACATTGTCTGCAAATAGAACAGCTACTCCTGATTTTTTCTGGGTTCCTGTTGCATGGAAGATTGTTTTCCATCCTTGGACTTTTAGTCTATGAATTTATTTTTGAGTTGTGTGTTTGTAGTATACAGCATATTGTTGGATCCTGTTGCTTGATTCATTCTGCCTGTCTGTTTCTTTTGATTTGAGGACATTTACATTGATAATTATTAAAGCTGATTATATTGCCTTATCTTTGTCATGATATTTTCCTGCTGTTGGTTCTCTGATTTTCCCCAATTAATTGCTTGCCTTTCCTGATGGTTTCTTTCTGTTTTTGTTCTTGGAATTGTGGTCATTTTTATGTCTGTAGGATATCTTCCAATACTCTTCGTAGGGTTGGTTTGGTGGTCGTGAATTTCTTTAGTTGTTCTTTGTCACAGAAGCATCTTATTTCTCCATTAATTTGTAAGATACTTTTACAGGTTGTATCAGTCTGGTTTGAAAATTGTTTTCTTTCAGAACTTGAAATCTTTTATTCCAAGATCATCTTGACTTGAAGGTTTGTGTTGAGAAGTCTGCCATGATTCTGATGGGCTTCCCTTGATAGGTAATTTGTTTCTTTTCTCTAATAGTCTTTACTCTTCTGTTCTTATGCTGAATTTCTGAAATCTTGATTATTTCTTGGTGTAGTTTTATTTTGGTCATGGCTGTTTGGAGTTGTATATGTTTCAGTTAATTGTGTATCACATTCTTTATTCATGCTTTGGAAGTTTTCTGCAATTCTTTCTCTGAAGAATTTTTTTATGGTATTTTGTTCTGTCTCCAGATTTCTCATTGACTTCAATCAATCTTTTTTTGTTGTTGTTCTTTGCTTCATCTTGTAGTTTTTGGGTTGATTTTTCATGGACTTTTTATTTTTAAAATCTTTCTTTTCATGATCACTAGCTGTAATTTTGTATTCAAATCTGAAATTCTATTTTTTTTTTTTTTTTTTGTCTTTTTCCTTTTTAGCAGTACCGGGGATCGAACTCACGACTGCCTGCTTGCAAGGCAGGCGCTTATGCCGCTGAGCTAAATCCCCAGCTCCCTTAAATCTGAAATTCTACCCTTTCTTTCATTTAACCTGTTATATATACTTTCAATGGAGGTTTTAATCTCTTAGGTTTATTTTTATATTTGTTTCATGGATTCCATTTCTTTCCTTTGTTGAGCATTTTTTGCTTTCATCATTTTTCTAAGCTCATTCTAAAGTATCTATGTGTTCTTTAACACCTTTGATTTAAAGCATCATTTCTTTTTGTACCTGAGAGATTATTTTCTCTATAGCTTTTTCCAGTTGTTTTTTTCATTTCTGTTGCTATCATTTCAGAAAGTTCCAGTGTTTGACTTCCAGTTTTGTCTATATAAGTGAGTTCTGGGCTTGTCCTCAGTAGGCTGAGGCTATGGGGTTGCATTTTCCTTCTGTATCTTATCATTTTCTATTTTATTTTGATATTTGCCAATTTCTTATAATCGATAACCATCACTATTATTGAAGTTTCCCTAGGAGATGTCTTTTCTACAGAGATGTCCTCTAGATGTAGATGATTGTTTATCTCAAGAACTTACCTTTCCATTTTGTAAAGAATGCAAAGTTCCTATTTGACTCAGCACCCAATCCTTTGGTCCTGGGTTGTGATGATGATTATGACCCTATACAATCACAGTGTTATCATACAGAGGAAAAAACTAATTATAACATGTATGATATCCTGGCTAAGGTACTACTATTAGTAATAACAGTAGTTTCAAGTATAACATTACTACTGACAAACTGTGGTAACCATTAACCTGTTTCCTCCAGCACAGGAGCAAACTCTAAAGTTATATAACAAAATAAAACATACATCATGTACTTGTATGCAGTGATTTCCCCCTCAGGGGAGTGATTTTACCATTCTGTGGGGCATGGGAGCGTTAAGAGACAGGATAAAGTAATGAATAAGGTCAAATATAGTAGAGTCAAGGCTAGAGGTCAAAGGATGATCACCCAAGTTTTGGGAAACTGGAGGACACAGGAGGCAAAGAGTGAAATGGAATGTGAAGGAGTAATCAGAAAGGGAAGAGACAATGTTTACTCATTTGAAAATTTAAATTCAAGAAGTCATAAGAAAAGAAAGAGTATTAATAGCAGAAAATAAATAAGAAGGTAAACCTTCTTGAGTGAAAAAAGAAGAA